ATTAACTGGCCCTGTGCCCCCCAAGCCTCCAAAAAAAGAACTTCCAAGCCCAAGAACTCACAGTTCACAGAGGCTTGGTCCTGGTGGCCCGACTGCCATGTACAAGGGAGTGCCTGAAGTCCGCCTTTCTTCCCGTTTCCTGCAGCGGAGAGCTTTGTGACCTGGGGAGGTGCTCTCTGTCCCCAGGAGATCGTCCTCCTGTGAAGACGATCTCACATCTTCACCCCACCCATCCATCACCCTGCTGCTCCCTATGTCCATCTTCTTCACTCTGTGTGTGGTCCCTCATCATATATATATATATATATGTCGGCTTTGTCGGCCATAGGCTTGATGATTCGCCCCAAGACGGAGAATCTTGATGTCATTGTCAACGTCAGTGATGCTGAGAGCTGGGACCAGCACGTTCAGAAGCTCAACAAGTTCTTGGAGCGTGAGTGTGGTTGTGCGGGAGCTCGGGCAGGGGATTGGGGGACCCAGGAGGCAGAACAGCGGGCCCATGACCCTGTCTCTCCCACCTCCTTAGCTTACAACGATTCCATCCAAGCCCAGAAGAATGACGTGTGCCGCCCTGGACGCTACTATGAACAGCCGGATAATGGAGTTCTCAACTACCCGAAGCGTGCCTGCCAGTTCAACCGAACCCAGCTGGGCAACTGCTCTGGCCTCGGCGACCCGACCCACTATGGTTACAGCACTGGGCAGCCCTGTGTCTTCATCAAGATGAACCGGGTACATGTGAACATGGTCACCGGGGAGGACCAAGGAGGAGGGGGCCGGGCCCACCCTCTGCTGGCAGATGCTCTCTTTCACTGGGGCTGCTGGATGCTGGAGAGATTTTTGGATGTTTGAGTGGCTGGGGGAACAGGAGAGATGGGGCCGTCGGAGGCTGGGGTGTGTGGAGGGAAGGCTGGGTACCTGTATCTTTACCATCTTTTTTCTCTCGCTCATCCGTCTCTCCTCCCTCCAGGTCATCAACTTCTACGCCGGAGCCAATCAGAGCATGAACGTTACCTGTGTGGGGAAGGTGAGTTTGTCGGGCCTTGCCCACCTGCCCACCTGCGTGCCCTTCGTGGTTTCCACCTAATGCACTGATCTCTCCTTATCTTCTTTGCTCTCAGAGGCCCCTTCTCTATAGGGACAAGGGGGTAAGAGTGGGTGCTACTGTGACTCGAACTCCCAAGGGGCTCCCACCCCTCTTGCTTCTCTCTAGGATGCAGGAGCTCGCTCTTGTGTGGATAGACACCCGCCTCCCTGACTCCACGCAAGCCTTGGCCCCCGGCTTCCATCCCTAACCCTTCCACCTTCTCTTCTAGTCCCTGATAACCATGACTTCCGCTCTCCCTCTCGCAGCTCACCTGTTCCTTCCTCAGTTCTTTCTAGGTGTCTGGTAGTTAGCACCACCCGCTGCCCCTCAGTGTCCCTGGATCCCACCTCTGTCCTCTCTAGAAACTTTCTGTCCCTCTTCACTCACACCGCTCCCCCCTCCCCGGCCTACTGAGCCCTTACTCATTTATCTGTTCTCTCTCTCGGCTCTGCTCCAGAAACCGACTCCTGAGACAGGGGTAAGAACTCGGTGTGGGAGTGTAGCGGACGGCTTTCAGTATCATTACCGCCCTTCAGGGCTTCCCAGTCTGACGGAGGAGACAGGCAAACACACACGCATACAGGCTCACAGCCCAAGGGAAGCTGATCTGAGGCAGGAATTATTTGGGGGCGAAGGAAGAACAGAGGGACGTCTGGAGAGCTCTCGGGTTCCTGGCGCCCCAGCATGCTCTCCCCCACCCTTCTGCGCCCCCACAGAGAGATGAAGATGCTGAGAATCTCGGCAGCTTTGTCATGTTCCCTGCCAATGGCAACATCGACCTCATGTACTTCCCTTACTATGGCAAAAAGTTCCACGTAAGTCCCGCTGGGGGGCCCGGGCTGGCGGCTCCCCAAGGGGAGCGGGGTCCTTGGGGAGGAGGTTGAGTTGCCACGGGCCTGGACCTTTGCTCTCCTCCTCTGGCCCAGGTGAACTACACGCAGCCCCTGGTGGCCGTGAAGTTCCTGAACGTGACCCCCAACGTGGAGGTGAACGTGGAATGCCGGATCAATGCGGCCAACATCGCCACGGACGACGAGCGAGACAAGTTCGCCGGCCGCGTGGCCTTCAAACTCCGCATCAACAAAACCTGAGGCCCCTTCCTCCTGCCCCCGCCTCTTTCCTATGGATGCTTCTGGAATGTCCCTGACCCTGCCTGATCCCTCCCTCACCCACCCCAAAGGTATTTTTTATAACAGAGCTATGACTTGTTGGAGACTCACGCCCTCTTTCTTTACTTGTGAACCCAGCCTGACTGCCGTTTGTGATTCCCAGCCCTCAGTTTCCCCCCTTTCCTCTCCCGATTCTAGCTGATTCTAGCTCGGTCACAGGCAGGGAGACAGGATCCCGGGACGGCCCCAGGGGAGTTAGCTGTTCTGGTTCTGGTTTAGCTGGGAGTGGGGTGTCTCCACCCCTCCGTCCCCAGAGAGCTATAGAAAATGCCTGCCCGCTCACCTTCACACCCGCCTTCACGCTCATCCGCCTCCTCTCTCTCTCTCACACACACACACACACACACACACACACATCTCGGTTCACCCCTTTCTCTGTCTCTCCTGCACTTTCTGCCTCATCTACACGGTCCCTGTCTTGGTGGCTTTGGATGCATCCGGCTCCTCCTCCGGCCTGTCCCCACCCCCTCCCATCCCCATTCCCTCCTCTGAAAGACAACTCTTTGTAATCGAGGACGAGGTGGCTCTGTGGCCTTTTCCCTGTTCTCTGGCACATCTGTCTTCTCACCCTCTGGTGATGGCGTGCGCTGGGAACCAGGGTCTGGAAGAGGAGTGCCCGTTGGTTCTTGAAAATTCTCTTCCTGTCAATAGGCACTCCTCAGAGGGATGGGGTTGACCTAGGCTGAATGTCCACTTTGTTTTTGCCGATGGCTCACTTCTCCCTGTTTGTTTTCCCAGAATATCCTTCAAGTTCCACTCTTCCCCGGAGCCCTGGGGGAGGGGCAGCCATTTTGGCTGGGTCCCCAGTGGCCACCTTGGAAACGTCAGCTGGCTCTGGGATTATTTCACCTCCTCCCCCCCCCCGCCCCGGGCCCAGAGCTACCCCCACCGTCCTCCCTCTGGTTTCTCTTAGCATGTTATCAACTAATCACTAACTCCTTCCCTCTCCGCATGTCAGCCTGAAGGTTGCGAACAGCCCCTCAGTCTAGGCTCTGAATGTCTCGGCCCCCCGTCTCCTACAGACCCCTTGGCGTTTTTAAACGACCCCATAGTGTCCATAGAATGCTCCACGAGGGGCCTCTGGTATTCTTGAGCGATAGTGCCCTTCATTTCTGCCCTCTCTAACGGTCCATCTCTTTTCTGACACTGCAATCCCCACGCCCCACCCTCAGACGGACCCTTCCCTCCTTCCCTCTCGCTGCTCTGAGTCTCTTCCCTTCGGGTCCCCATGTTCTCCTGCATTGCCCTCGCCCCCGTGGTCTCTCTCTGCAGTTATTTAATGCCTGTGTCAGATCTACTGTAAAAAGAGGATAAAGTACAATAAAATGAGAGCAATTATATATATAAATATATATCATACATGGAGCCCTGCGTGCGGGTGGTTCCTTGCCGAGCGTTTGGAAGGGCTCTGGGAAAGGGAGTGGGGGGTGGTGGGTGTGGGTGATTCGGGGCTTGCTCCGTCAGGCCTCCTTCCCAGCTCCGAGCTCTCCGTCCGGTGTCCAAGCAACTAGATCACTCCTTCACCTGTATGGTCTTTGCGATCACTCAGTGCAAGAGAGGCAGGAAGCCTACACCCCTTGGTACAGCGACAATACTTAGGATGTGCCTACTGTGTGCGTTCCAGGCACCGTGAGGACACACTTATGAGAGAGGCAGAGTTCCTGCCCCCAAGGAGCTCCCCAGTTTAACGGGAGAGGTGAGGAGCACACGAAAACACTCTCCTACCAGGTAGACCTACACAAACGTGTTTCCACGAATGGGAGAAAGCTGAAAGCCGGCGAGGACAGAATTCAGAGTGGACATCTATTTTCTATCGGGGGCTTCCAACGGCGGGTTTCCTAGAGGCTTAAAGGATGGGGTGTTTGGGGAAGAGAGCATAGCGTCAGCAAATGCCCAGGGACGTGAGAAAAGCTGACCAGAAGAAACAGACCTCAGAACGGTATGATCCTAATTTTGTGTAAGAGTATACACATAAGCATAGAAAAAAAGGAAGGGGGGGGTCCGCTTAACAATGTTTATTGTGACATACAGGGATGGGTCTAGAGCCCATTTTTATTTTTCTTGGGGTTTGTTTTTGTTGGTTGGTTGACAACGAGTTAGTCTTAGTGTTTGCCACGAAAAATACCTTTAGTATATAGGCACAGATCCACACAATTTTTTTTTTTAAGATTTTATTTATTTATTTGTCAGAGAGAGAGCACAAGCCAGGGGGAGGGCAGCAGGCAGAGGGAGAAGCAGGCTCCCCCGCTGAGCAGGGAGCCCCGATGTGGGGCTCGATCCCAGGACCCTGGGATCATGACCTGAGCCAAAAGCAGACGCTTAACCGACTGAGCCACCCAGGCGTCCCAGATCCACACAATTTTATCATGAATGCATCGTACACACTAGGACCACTGGGTTTAGTCACTGTTGCGCCGAAATTGCATCATATTACATACTTTTGTGCATTTCACTTTCTTCACTCAATAAATTTCTTGTGATACTATTTCACCTGGCAGAGCTCTAATATTTTTGTTTTTTTTTTTTTTAGATGGCTGTGTCATATTTTTCCTGTTGGGTTGTTCTTACTGATTTGTTCAAGCTCCTTGACAGCTGTAGATATAAACTGTTTTTTGCATTGCAAAAATCCCCCCCGCCCCAAGCGATTGTTTGCTGCGCCCTTAAAAAGTGTCCCTCTTCAGATAGTCCAACATGCTTCGCTCTTTTGCAGTTCCTGGGTTTCCAGTCACTAGAGTATACTCATATTTTCTAGATTTTGGGGGGGGGGTGGGCAGGATTTTCATTTCATTTAAACGTCTACATTCACTTTAATCCCTCTGATTTTTGTTTCTTTTTGTGTGTGGTGTAAATGGGAGTCCAATTTTATTTTATTTTTCTAGTTTTGTCAGTTTCGCTTTACTTGTCAAAAATCAAGGGCTCCTGGCTGGCTCAGTTGGTAGAGCACGCGGCTCTTGATCTTGGGGTGGTGAGCTTGAGTCGCAGGTTGGGCGTAGTTTACTTAATAAAAGAAATATTTTTTAAAAATCTCTAATTTATTCCCATTGAGGTGAAATGCCAACTTTGGCCATATAATAAAAGTTCCTGTGTGCCAAGATTTGCTTTCAGATTTGGTACTTACTGCCCCTGGCTTGTCTATGACTCCACACACCAAGCCATGTTGATTTTATTCCAATAGTTTTACAGTGTTTTTTGATATCTAGCAAGGAGAGTAGGTTTCCCTCCATTGCTTTTTTTTTTTTTTTTAATTTTAGTAATCTACCCCCAACGTGGGGTTCAAATTCATGACCCCGAGATCAAGAGTTGCATGCCCTTTGGACAGAGCCAGCCAGGTATCCCTCCCCACTTTAAAAAATTATCTATTTACTTTTTTAAGAATCTAATCTCTACACCCAACATGGGGCTTGAACTCACGACCCTGCAAGATCAAGAGTTGCATGCTCTACCGACTGAGCCAGCCAGGCGCCCCTCTCAGTACTAATTTTTGAAAAGGTATATTTCTCTATCTACTGTCCATTTACTTTTAATTCCAACGATTCTCTATCCTGGTCTCTTGAGTTCTTAAGGTACATAGACATACGATCAAAAAGGCAAAGAGATATTTCACCAATGTTGGTTTCTTTTCTTTTTGATCCTCTTGAACGCCTTGTAACACTGTCAGTAGGCATCCCTGTATGGTTCTTTAACTGAAATTATCTTAGTATTTAACCATTAGGATAATACCTCCTGGTATTCCACTACTATTTTTAATTAAGATTTTTTTTTTTAAAGGAACGGATGCTGAAATTTAATCAAATTCCTTTCAGCATCTGTTGATATGATCGTATTTTTCCTCCTTAATTTGTTAATGTCATGAATTATGTTGATAGATTCTCTCTTAAACAAACTTTGTGCTCCTGGAATAAACCTTTACTTACAGTGTTAATCTTCTTTTGATTCATCAATGCATTCTGGTACTGTTTTGAGAGTTTTGCATCTACGTAAGTTAATTTCGCTTCTGGGTTTTTACCAGGTTTTTCTATTAACGAAACCACAAAAACTTCACATAAATTAGAGATTTCATTCTTTTCCTGTGGTACAGAATAGTTTAAGTAGCATTGGACCAATTGATGGTCCTTGCTGTGTTTTCCTCAACAAGCTCTTGAGTTTTTCTTTTTAAATTATTATTTTTTAATTTTTATTTTATTTTTTAAAAGATTTAAAAAGATTTTATTTATTTGAGAGAGCAAGGGGGGGGGAGGGAGCGAGAGAAGCAGACTCCCCGCTAAGCAAGGAGCCCCGTGCGGGACTTGATCTCAGGACCCTGAGATCATGACCTGAGCTGAAGGCAGACACTTAACTGACTGAGCCACCCAGGTACCCTTCTTTCCTTTTTTAAATTTATCTTTTTTTTCCCCCCTAAACTCCTGCTTTTGGATTTACCAAGTTTGCTTTCTCTTTCAACAATTTCTATCTTTTTTTAGCTTCCTTTTGTTTCTCTTTCTCTCTTTTTTAAGAATAATAGAAGCATTTATGGCTATACATTTTCCTCAGAGTACAACTTTTGCTGGGTCTCACAGCTTTGGGAACCCCGTATTCCTGAAATCAGGGAGGTAAGTTGTTTAGGAGTCCAGATCTCAGTGGTACAGGGCTCAGGCTTTGAGCCTGAGGGCAGAGGCCGTGTCTGCTACAGGACCCTATGGCCTGGAACAGAGCCAGGCAGAGTAAAGCACCAGCGGATGCCCACGGATGACTGAATGAACACAAGGGAAGGAAGCAAGCAGGTGGGACCAGAGAGTTAGGGACCCATTATAAATCTGCAAACCCAGCCTCATTTCTGGCCCCGTGATCTATCAGCTCACAAAGGTTTCGGCAGAGCCAGTTGGATCTGCTTTCTGAAGGAGCAGAGCAGAATCCAAAACAGCCAGGGACAGTCTAGGGAAATGGGAGTCAGGGGTGCTGGACGCTGGTCAGAAGGGAACTTCAAGGTGAGCCATGTAGCAGAGCGAAGAGAGGGAATGAGTTTCGAGAGGCCTGGTTTGCCAAGGCCCCGGTGGGTGGGGAGAGATGAAGGAGAACTGTCTCTGAGGGAGATGGTTCCAGGTCTCCTGGGGAGTGTTTGGCATTCCCTGGCGAGAAAGAGAAAGAAGGTGGTTTTGAGGCCAGGGAGGCTGGTGGCTGCACAGCCATCTGGGATCCTTGGGGCAAGCCAAGGTACTCCCACAGGCACTTGAAGCCTGATTGATAAGGCTGAGAAGACAGTGGCCCCAGAAGCTTCTCTGGACCTTAGTACCCCTCCCTCTGCCTCCAGGGAGGAGGTGGGCCAAGCCATGTCCCTACTGTCTGGCCATCCCTCCAAGCACTGGCTGAGCCAGCAGTGAGTGATGGGGAGAGCTCGCCCCCAGCCCCCCTCCCTGGGAGCCAACAGCACCAAGGAATAGGATGGGCGGGGGTGCTGAGCTCTCCAACCTCAGCTCTCCTCCCTACCCCAAGAAGCCCTTTGAAAGGTTTTCCTGGCAGAGTTTAAAGCTTCAATTCATTGAATTGCCTGGCATGAGGCCCAGGATGAGGGGATGCCGGGAAGGCCCCAGCCCTACACCCCAGCCCTCACCTTAGCCGCCCCCACTTTCCTGGGACCCAGGCCGGCAGGCCTCCCCTGCTCCCTCTCTTCATCCAACGGCACCCACCACCTTTCCCCTCGGGGACCCAGGTATCCTGCCCCTTTCTTGCGGAGCAGATGGCCACCCCAGAGGCCCAGCCTTGCTAAATCAGACATTTAAATCCCATAATCCTTGGTGAGAGGCTGACGGAGGGGGTAGCAGCCCAATCCTAGAAGCAGGGGCAGGAGAGAACCTCGTGCCAGGCCTGGCAGGAGGGGAGGAGGGACAGTTGGTTCCCGAGTTATGAATGGAGCGCCCCCCCTCCCTTGTTGTCATGCAGCCCGCAGACTGACCCAGTCTCCAGCTTTTGTTCTCCTCTGGGAGCCCCGGCCTTGGGCCCCCCAGCCCACACTCCCGGGAGACTCAGGTGGCTGCCTCCCAGGGTCACCGCCTTCTTCCCCGCTGCGGTACGCGGGCCCCACGCAGCCTGCCCAGGCGCCCACCCCACGGACACACAGGTGGTAGCAAAGTTTATTGTAAAATAAGAGACTGATATAAAAACGGGATATAAAAAGGGAAGAGGAGGAGGGGGTGTGGATGCAGAGTGCAAAAGAAATCGATCCTGAGAGATTGGGGGAAGTAAAAAGACTTCAGCAGATACAGATCCTACACCAGGGATGGAATCCTCCAGGCTGTGAGATGGGAGTGAGATGTCCTCCTGGGCGCCGGGGCTCCCCAAGAGGTCAGACAGAATTTGGCTGGGCCAGCAGGAAGGGGACCCCTCACCAGCTGCCCCCTCATACGAGCTGTCGCCCTGCACCAGCATGGACAGGGGACCGGCAGCCTCGGAGGCACCACGTTGCAGACATCATGGGGTAAAAGGGCTGTTTTGGGGGGTCAGACATACATAATTTCATTCACCCTCACAACAAACTCCGTGAGGTAGGTATGGTTATCAGCATTTCATAAAAATGGCCTATGAAATTAGGAAATTTCAATCACTGGCTGAAACAGTAGAGAACTGGGCTCACAGCCCAGCGTGTGATTAGTTCTAATACGCTCCCGACATTCAGGAACATTTTCCTACCTCTCCCATGGTTCCTCACAGTAAAAATCTTTAAAAAACCAGGCTGGAACGTCCTACGTCCCCCCCGACCAACCGACCTTGTAGGCTAACTTCTTTAGCAGAGCCTTAGGGCAAGGCGAATGGAAGAATCCAGAGAGTCTCTGGGGCACACTTGTACCAAGCAGTCCACACACCGAGCAGGTGTGCTCAAGCTCCCAAGTCCCAAAAATGCCAGGGAAAGAGGGGCAAGGGGGAGGGGGTCAGTGGGGGGCGGGAGAGGGGGACACAGGAAGCAGGGGACGTCAGTCTGAGTCGGGCCCCTCTCTCTTGAACATCAGTTTTTTATGGCGGGAGGTAGACTGCCCCTTCTTAGCCTTCAGGTGGCTGTTGGGGAGACAAGGGGGAGGGGAAGAGATGACATCAGCGAGTGGGAGGCTGGGGGCTCCTTGTCCTAGACCTCCGCTTGGGAGGGCCCGAGGCGGGAGCAAGGGAATTTCAGTTAAAATGGTCATCGCCAACTGCAGGTATGTTTGCTGAGACCCGGGTCACTTCCGCGTATTCTCTTCATCTTCCCCCCACCTTGTCGGACAAGCAAGGAAACCGAGCCCAAGAAGGGGAGTGGCAAGGCCCCAGGGATGCTCGTACTCGGCAGGGCTGGGGGTCTGTCCCAACCCCGCCATGTCCAATACTCCCACATGGTTATCAGGCCCCGATTTGAGCCCCCAGCTCTGTGCCAGAGGTTGTTGGAAATGACAAAGAAACACCCCTGCTCATCCCTGGAGGGGCTTGGGGACCTCCCAAGGCAGGAATGGGGTTGCGGGATACGCCTAGGGGGAGACGGAAGCATGTTTGGGCCGGGGGGGGGGTCCCACCGTGAGGGCGTCAGCTCCCTTTGACCTTGAAGGTAGGATTAGAATGGAATCCCGTGTCTTTCCAAGGTAGGAAGGCAGGCGTGTGGGGCTGGGAGAGGCCCCTGGTCACTCACCTGGAGTGAGCCCTGCTTCCCCCTGGCTCCTTTCCGCTCAGGGCATCCTTCAGCTCCAAGGCCTCATTCAACTCCCTGAACATATTGAAGCGTTCACGTCCACGGATCTGTGGCAGGGCAGGAGGGGGAGAAAGAAGCATGAAGGCGAAGCCCCAGTACCATGGAACCCCCGTGGTGTGGTGTGGCAGTCTGCATCGAGGGACGGCCGCGCCCTGATGGCAAGTGCCCTAACTGCAGGCACTGCAGTCAGGAAAAAGACAGCGTTCTCAGCGCTGGGCTTGAAAACAATATTCAACCCAGGAATATTCACTTCCAGAATCGGGGACAGGACCAGAGGAAAGGATGGATACAAGAACAGGGCCTAGCCTCCCGTTTGCTCCCTTCATAGTTTTTTTTCCTTCATCCGGGCCCACTGAGTGGGGGCAAGAGCCTGCCTCTCTGTCCCTCCCAGGCTTGGTACCTGAAGGGTGAAATATTCCCCATCCAGTGGCTTCTTCTTTTGGGGAGGAGAGGAGCTGGTGCTGGGAGTCAGTGCTGGGAAAGAGGGGAGGAAAGACAAGAGAAGAGTACATTTTGAGCAGAACTGCACCCTCTGCGCCTCCCCTACCACCTCTTGTCCTGCCTGCTTACCTCGCTTAGTGCTCCCGGGGGGCGGCTCGGGGCAAGGCTCCCCCTTCTTGCGGAAATTCTCCTCCTCTGTGCGCCGGTCTCGCCCAGGACAGGCACAGACGCGTACCTCAAAGCTGCTCCGCCCCAGCACGTTACCACTACCCCGGCAAGGAGACCAAAACGGGAGGCGGTGAGGGAGGTGAACCACCCCCTAACTCCCAACCACCCTCGTCCTCTGCGGAGCCTGAGCCAAGGACTACCGAGAAGCCGCAGGTCAGAGAGGTCCCAAAGCCGGAGAAAGGAAACTGGGGGAGGCCGAGGGTGGGGGACAGCGGAGGAGAGTCCAGGTGTGGGGCAGGCATGAGTGGGAAAGATGGGTGTCAGTAAGGGAGGGAGGGGCGGGGGCGGGGCGGCGTGCAGGGCCCTACCTGGAGTCTTCCAGGGTGATGATGGTGAGGATGGGCCTCCGGTTCATGCCCCCCATGCAAGAGCTATTACACATGTAGTTGTAGTGGACAGTGGTACAATCAGAGCCGACCTGAGCCAGAAGACAGGCCCAAGGTCAGGCCACCCCGCCCCCGGCGGCCTGCAGTCTCCGTAGGCCTCAGTTTCCCCAACCGCGGAACGGGGACGACCCGCCTGGCTCTGCACACCTCACGGGGCCGTGCGGAGGCTGAATAAGGAGAAAGCCCCCCCCCCCCCCATGTCGCACGTGATGGGCCCCACCAGCCCTCTCCTCCCAGAGACCTCAGACGCCAAACCAGACCTCGGGCGGCTCGTAGGGCACCACCACGCTGTGGCGGAAAGTGTTTCTGTCGTCCAGGTACTTGGCTCGCAAGTTGCCTTCCACCCGGATGAGATGCTGAGGCGGGGCCAGCCCTGCGAGCAGTCGGGGAGGAAATCAGGAGATCAGGGGTTTGGGGCCTCGGGGCACCGCCCGCCCCAACGGCCGCCCCCGCCCCCGCCGCTCACCATCGCTGCTGTCCGGACAGCGCTCGTGGTGGGGACAGCGCCGTACCACCTCTGTCACGAACTCGGACTTCTTATAAATGGCCATGGCGCGGACGCAGGTGTCGGGTGGGGGCGGGGAGCTGACCCACAGCTGCACCGGGCAGGTCTTTGCCAGCTGGCAAAACAGCTTGTTGAGGGACGGGGAGTACTGTAAGGAGAGGAGGAGGGGCGGACAGGTCAGGGGATGAGTGTGGGGGGGTGGGGGCCGGGGGCGCATATGGACAAACAGCCAGAGCACCAACCGGAAGCCACAGGCCGTGTGGGGACAGTGGCTAGACCTGGCGGGGTTGGGGTCCGTATCCCAGAAGCTTACTTTAAAAAGCCAAGGACTGAATGAGTGAAGGAAAAGCAAGAAGAGTTCCAGGGCCCCGTTATGACGGGAAGGGTGAAAGCCCAAGATCAAAGACTAAGGAGGGCGCCTGGGTGGCTCAGTTGGTTAAGCCACTGCCTTCGGCTCAGGTCATGATCCTGGAGTCCCGGGACCGAGTCCCGCATCGGGCTCCCTGCTTGGCGGGGAGTCTGCTTCTCCCTCTGACCCTCCTCCCTCTCATGCTATCTATCTCATTCTCTCTGTCTCAAATAAATAAATAAAATCTTAAAAAAAAAAAAAAGACTAAGGAGAAGTGCAGACTGGAGAGGCCCAAAGTGTGGCCAGGCGAGGAACAGTCCCATGGAAACCAGCCCGTGAGGGCCACTGACCGTGCAAGTAACAGACTTGGCTGTCCCGGAATGCAGGAACCCCAAACGGAACCCATAGGTGCCAGGGTAGGTCTTCGGGGAAGGGACGAAGGATGACAGGGGCCAGGAGGTGGCTGGTCCGAGACCCGCGGGGGCAGGAGCTGCGGACATCCTGGGAGCGTCATCGGACCCTGTATCCAGCCAGTTCGCGACGCCTTCTGAGAGCAGCAGATCGTCCACTGCCGGGGACAGCTCGGAAGACTGCAGGTGGAGAGACAAGAGTCGGAGGGCCAGGTCCCCAGCGCCCCGCCCCGCAGGCCCCCCCCCGCCCCATCCAGTCCTTACCAGAACATTGTTTTCAGGAAGCCTGGAAGACAAGAGCAGAAAGTCAGTGCTGGTGTTTGCTTCCCACGGGCTTCTACCAGGGGGCTGGGGATTGGGGTGGACGGGCAGGATGGGGCAGTGATGCTGGGAGGCTGGTGGGGAGCCTGCCCTGCCCTCCACTTACAGGTTCCACAATTCGGAAAATGTCTCCTGGCTCAGAGGGGGGTCGATGGTGAGCTCCGACTGTGGGTCCTGCATCGCAGCTCCTGGGAAGGGAGTGTAGCCGCTGTGGAGAGCAAGGTGGGGGGTCCAGTATGAGACACACCCAACCCCGGGCCCCCAACCCTGAGGCAGGAGGGACCTCTCCACCAACACCGTACCAGGGCCTGAGATGCCGCGGCCCCGGGCCTCCCCAGGCGCAGGGTTGCTCCTGCCCAGCCCAGCCCAGCCCACCCCACCCGGCCTTAAGGTACAAAGATAACCAGAGAGGGAATTTCAGCCTTCCCACCACTGAGTCCACAAGCCTTCCTGGAAGGGTACCCTATTTCTGTCCTCCGTCCTGGTAATAAGGATGAAGCATGTCAGCCTACACCCTCCCCCTGGGGGAAGATACCTCCAGGGACCCCCACATTCCCCACCTGAGCCCCTTCATCACGAAGCTTCCTGAAGAACTGGAATCCCACTCCCAGCCCTGGCGCACAGGGTCCTCAGGACTCCCCCGCCTGCCTCTCTGACTTCATCTTCTAGCACGCTCCAGCCACGGGCTGCCCTTCTCTGCTGCCAGACACAGCCCGGTTTAGCTGGCTGGTGGTTCCCTCTACTGGGAACCCTGGTCCAGCCACTGCTGCAGGGGAGGCATCTTCTGGGACCTTGTCTTGAATGTCACAGCTCCTCAAGGATGTTTGCCCAGACCGCCCGGGCAAAGACTGCGGGGAGTAAGTGAATGGTTGTGCCCAGGCCGTGAGCAGGTTGTGAGCTGTCCAAGGAGTGAGCAGTTCACAGGGGCAGTCCCAGTCCCGGCCGGCCGGGGCTCCGTCCCAGGCTCTGCGGCCACCGTCTCGTGGCATCTTCCCTGACACCAAGTTTGCCGTGAGTTTTGAGAAAAAACCACGCCCCCTGTGGACGTCCCGTTCATTACTTCTTTGTCTTGTAGAGCATGACAAGCCCATCACCCCCACCCCCACCCCCCGCAGCTCCTCCCACCAACATTCACCTGCTCCCAGGCCTGATTTCTTATGTACTCAGAGTTTGTGAAATCCATTCGTGTGGGTTAATTCATTTGTCCCAAGAACCACTCTGGCCGCCCCCGAGCCACCCCCCCCGCCCCGCCGCGACAGGTGAGGAAACTGAGTCTCCAAACCCGCCCACAGCACACATACGCGAACAAATGAGCTTTTATTAAAAATGACCATTCAGACATCTAGCAGGAGGATGCGTACTTCATCACCGACTATTCTCTCTTCAGAGCTCTCTTTTGTTAAGGCCGGAGGTGCAGATTTTGGCTGACAAAAGTCCTCCAATGAAGAGGTTGGCAAAGGGCTCCTTATCACAGCCGCCAATGCTGGGGTGGGGGTGGGGGGGGAGGATGGACAATGCCTGTGGAGGGAGGAAGGCAGGAGCGGGCGGCAGGGGAAGTGATCCCAAATCTTTGCTTGGCGGGGAAGGACCAGGACCCCGCTCCTTCTATGATCAAAAGAACTTTGAGATGTTTATGGAAGGGAGCTTCAGAAGTCGAAAGCCCTAAATGTTACTTACATTTGCTGTGCAACTTTACCCGCCTTTACTTTACCTTACCTTACCAACTTTACCTACCTCAAGGGCTAGCCTTTTGGCTTCCTCACACACAGGCATTGAGTTTTCCTCATCTTTATGTGTTTAGTGAAAACTACCCAGGACTGGGAGCCATGAGCGGCAGGCTAGGCCTGCATCCCAGTCTCACCACGTAATAGCTGTGTAATTTGGGGAAGATACTTAACTTCTCTGTGCCTCAGTGTCCTCTGCTCTAAAGTAGTACCCTACTTATTATGGGTAAGCTAGAGCGCTGAGAAAAGTGCCTGGCACATAATAAAAGCTTGAGAAATGTGTTTGTTTATAGGATTATCCCATTTTATTAGTTCTATATTGCAGGTACAATCACTAGGAAACCTTTTCAGAGCCGGTCCTTCCCAGGGATGAGCACCAAGGGCCATTAAACTGAATTTTCAGAAGCTGAACCAGACCTTCCAAATGGCTAGGGAGGCAGGACGTTTACATAGATATCCCTGGTGGGAAGGCCACAAACTCAACTGGGACTCCATCGAGGGGCCCAGCCCACCACCATCCCAACAAGAGCTGATGTTTATCCATCCCCACAGGGGCCCACTGCTCCCAGAGGCTTATCTCATTAATCCTCTCAAGAAGCCCTTAGCGGTAGGTATCACCAGCTGAGGGAATGGAGGTTGAAAGAATTATCTCACTTATCCAGATTCAGAAACCTCCCGAGGGGCAGGGCGAGGGATTTGAACCTGGGCTGTCCAAAGCCCACACCCAAGCTCTAAATAATTATGCTCCTCTGCCTTCATCCAGAGTCTGGTGTAAAAAATTTTCTTGGCTGAAAGCTTTTTGGTTGGAAAAAAACAACAACCAATATGATTCTGGAAAATAGTAAGGCAGGGTCAGGCAACTTACTGCTTTGCAAAACCACTTCTAGGTAAACCCCCTTAGAAGAGTGTTGTATGGGGCAGCAAGAGTTTTGCACAAATATGTTCACGTCAGTGGGTTGTTCTCGATGACAGGTGACGAGAAACGTTACTATCCACCAGTAGGGAATGGCTACATGAAATACCGACAAGAGAGAGACATTTACTACAACAGTTTAAGGAAATGAGTTTATCTGTATATATGTAACTAGATATAGCTCAGAAACAGGTTGATTACAAAATACAATTTGCAGGGGGAAAAAAAAGCCAAACACAGTAATGTAGGTAGTTTATGTGAATTACAAATACAAAATGACTACAGTTGACCCTTGAACAATGTGGGGGTTGGGGGCGGGGCCCCCTGTGCTGTTGAAAATCCATGTGTAGCTCTTGACTGCCCCCAAATTTAACTACTAATAACCTACTGTTGAGCAGAAGCCTTACCAATAACATCAACAATTAACGCATATTTTGTGTATGTACTATATATACTATATTCTTTCTTTTTAAAGATTTTAGTTATTTATTTGAGAGAGAGAGCACACAGAGGGAGAGAGCACAGAGGGAGAGACAGAGAGGGAGAAGCAGATTCCCCACTGAGCAGAGAGTCCAACACGGGGCTCGATCCCAGGACCCAAAGATCACTACCTGAACGGAAGGCAGATGCTTCACCGACTGAGCCACCCAGGCACCTCTTATATACTATATTCTTTAAAAAAAAATTTTTTTTATTGTTATGTTAATCCCCATACATTACATCATTAGTTTTATATATACTATATTCTTCAAGTAAGCTAGAGAGAGGGGTGCCTGCGTGGCTAAGTCGGTTGAGCATCTGTCTTCAGCTCAGGTCATGATCCCAGGGTCTTGAGATTGAACCCCCACATGGGGCTCCCTGCTCAGCGGGGAGCCTGCTTCTCCCCCTGCTCATATTCGCTCTCCCTCTCAATTAAATAAATAAAATCTTAAAAAAAGCAAGCTAGAGATAATGCTATTAAGATAATCACAAGGGAAAAAAAGGCATTCACAGTACTATACTCTATTTATCCAAAAAATCCATGATAAGTGGTCTCATGCAGTTCAAACCTGTGCTGTTCAAGGGTCAACTGTATTTATTGCTTATAAACATATATACGTGGAAGTATGAAAGACAGGCAAGAATAAACACTTACAAACTATGATAGTGATGGTCTCAGAGAGAGGGAGGTATGTATGCTCATGGGACTGGGGGTACCATCACAGGGTTCTGGCTTGATTAATGAAGGAAAATTTAAAAAGATGGTATTCATACATTACTTGTATATTAAAATAGGGACACAAATAAGACAAATGTTAAGTGTTATAATTCTTTGGTGGGAATACGAGTGTTGTATTATTCTCATCTGTGTTTTTCTAAAATAAAAAAACCTAAAAAAGAAAGATGGACTCCCGTGTATCCATCTTCCAGCTTCAAGAATAATCAACATTCTGCCTTTATTGTCTCCCCTAAACCCCCAGCCGCTCCCCAGAAGCCCACAAATGTTTCTGAGGTAAAATCTACACAAGTTGAAATGCACAATCTTAATTTTACCAATTAGAAAACCAATTTGACACATTTTGATACAACCTTGTAACCTAGCCCTACCAAGCCTAAGACACTTTGCCGTGTTTCCTTCTGAAAGTTATACATTTTATGCTTAGGTCTACTATCCATCTCAAACTTTGTATGGTGTGAGGTAGGGGTTAAGGGTCAGGGGTCAAAGTCCATTTTCCACTTCCAGTTGTTTTAGCATGGCTTCATTCTGGGGCCTTTGTAGGAAACCATTTGACTACACTCACGTGTCTTTTCCTGGGCTCTATTCTGTTCACGGTTGTTGTCCTACAGTAGCTTTATAGTAATCTTGAAAGTCAGCTAGTTTAAGACCTCCAACTTTGTACTACATTTTCATTTTGGAATCGGCTTGTCAGTTTCTACAAACAGACCTGCTAGGATTTTGATTGGGATCAAACTAAATCATTTTGGAGAGTACTGACATCTCAACACTATTGAGTGTTCCATCCATGAATATGGTACTCTGTTATTTAAATCTTCCTTAAATTCTCTCAGCAATAGTTTGCAGTTTTTAATATAGAACCCTTGTCCATCTTTTGTTCAATTTATCCCCAGGTATGTACGCTATGTTTTTGGATGCTTTGTAAGTGGCACTGTTTTTACAATTCATTTTCCGACTTCAGATTCAATGGTTGCTATTATATAAAAATACAATTTATGTATATTGCCTTTGAAACCTGTGACCTTGCTATCATCACTTATCAGTCATGACAGTTTTTCTTTTTAAAAGATTTTATTTTTTAAGTAATCTCTACATCCAACATGGGGCTCAAACTTCCAACCCTGAGATCAAGAGTTGCATGCTCTACCAACTGAGCCAGCCGGGTGCTGTTTTTCAATGGATCTTCTATTAGCCTGGTTAACACCTTCAGTGTAATGTTGAAGGGGTGAGAATCAAATCCTTTTCTAGTTCCTGATCTTAGAAAACAAGCATTCAGTCTGTCATGATTATGTATTGATGGTAACTTGATTGGGGGTGCCCTTTATCAGACTGAGAAAGCTTTCCTTTTCCTAGTTTGCTGGGAGCTTGGCTTTTCTTTTCTTTTTAAAATCATGAATAGGTGCTGCATAATGTCAACTGCTTTTTATGCATCTGTTGAAATGATCATAGGATTTTTATCCTTCAATCTGTTAGTGTGGCAAATTACACTGATTTTTTAAATGTTAAAACATCATTGCAGTCTAGAGATAAACTCTACTTGGTCAGGATGTATTTACCACTTTTATAGATTATCAGATTTGATTTGCTAAGATTTTTGCACATACATATTTGCATATACATATGTATATGTATATATATACATATTTGCATATATATGTATATATTAGCAAGAATATTGGTCTAAATGTTCTTTTCTTGTAATGCCCTTGTCTGGTTTTGGTATCAGGATTCTCAGGATATCATGAAATTAGTTGGGAAATGTTACCTCTTCTATATTCTGAAAGTTTGCATAAGATTGGTACTGTTTCTTCCTCAAATGCTTTAAGAGAAGAACAAAGAAGAAATAGAATAGAAAATAGCATTAACATGGTAGACTTAAACCCAAACCTTACAATAACTGCATTAAATTAAATGGACCAAGCACTCCAATTAAAAGCATTTTAGTGGGGGGGAAGGAGGGCTTTTTCAACAAGTGGAGCTAGAGGAACAGGATATCTATATAGGAACCCCCCCCCAAAAAACCAGAACTCCTACCTCACATCATAAAAATTATTTTAAAATTAATTAATTAATTATGGCTCATAGACTTAAGTATAAAACCTAAAACCGTAAAGGTTCTTGAAGAAAATATCCTAGAGATTCTTCATGACCTTAGGGTCAGCAAAGATTTTCTAAACAGGTCACAGAAAACATCTGAAAGACAGAAGATGAATCTTCTGCTGCTCCTTAGACAGTGACAGAGAGGCAAGTAACAGGTCAGGAGAAAACACAAATAGTGACAAAAGAAGCCTATCCAGAATATATAAAGAACTGCATGCAGCTGAACACAGTTTAAAAAAGCAAATAAACCAACTTCAAAAAAATGGGGGAAAGATTTGAAAAGCCGCTTCCATTATGACATAGGAATGGCCAATAAGCACATGAAAACTGATCCTAGCTAAGAGGATTGCAAATTAAAACCACAATGATGTACCACATTAGAAAGACTGACAAACCAAATGTGAGGAAGGATGGCTCTTGCTGGTGGGAATGTAACACCGGGACAACCACTCTGAAATATGAGAATTTAAAAAGTCAAGTTTATATCTCCTCTCTTACCTAGCAATTCCATGCCCAAGCAGTTATCCAAATAATAATAATAGTAATAAAAATACGAAAACATATGACCACAAAGAGAATTGTACAAGAATGTTAATAGCAGCTTTATTCGAAATAACCCCAAACGGGAAACCACTCAAATGGTCACCGAAAGGAGAATGGATAAACAATCCACGGTTTATTCATCCGATGAGATGTGCTAAATACAAAGGAGCAAAACACTGATACATTTAGTAACACGGATGCATGTCACAGGCATTATGCTGCCCACCAGAAACCTACACAAAGGAGCATATCCTGTGTGGGTCCATTTACACGACGTTCTCCAACAGGCAAAACTGGTGACAGAACTCAAAATAGAGACGAGGGTCAGAGCCTGATTGGGTAGAGGCACGAGCACCTTCTCTAGGGCGATGAAAATGTGCATTTTGACAGGCTGGGGGTTAGCTGCCCAAACTCGTCTAATTGCAGTGGGTGTCAATGCTACCTCGATTTCGGAACAAGCTGCACACACGCCCCGCGCGCGGGGGCCGGTGCCGAGCAGGTGCGCAGCAGGTGCGCAGGTGAGCGAGCGCAGGCTGGAAGCGCCGCGCCGGCAGGGACGGACGGGCGGGGAGGCCCGACCCCCGCCCCTTCGGCTCCCCTCGGCTCCCCTCGGCTCCCCTCGGCTCCGCTCGGCTCCGCTCGGCTCGCCCCGCCCCCTCCAGCCCCCGCCCCTTCCGCCCCCACGACGTTCGCTCTGCGTCCGAAATCGGAATGGCTGAGCCCGGAGCCGGATGCCAAAGAAACCGGGTCCCGGCCCTCAACAAACGGCGCACCGTCGCACTCTGTCATCGTTTACTTCTCAAATGAACCCGTTCTCGAAAATACCCAGGGCCTGCCGTCGGCACGCTTTTTAAAACCCCGTCCCTCGCAATGGTAGCGTCCGCCCGGGTTGCAGCCGGCGGGGTGGAGCACACCATTCAAAGAGGGGGAGGGATTGGGGTTTGCATCGAGACAGACCCTCCCTCCCGCCCCGGAGTGGCAGCTAAGTGGTCCAGGAAGGGGAAAAAAAAAAAGCAGGGGAGGGGGCTCGCCGCTCCTCCTGCACTTAAGCGGAGCCGGGCTAAATGACATTTTCTCTCTTCTTCCCTCCAACCGGGTGGACAGTGAGCTGCTCCGGAAAAAAGAAACCGGAAACGCTGCGGCAAAGTGGCAGAAATGTAAACGTACAGCCCAACAATGACAGGGCTCGCGGGCCTCTCGGAGCTGGACGGTCCTCCCCGGCCTCGCGGGCCGACCTCCCGTGGAGCGCTTCCCACTTCCACGACTGACAGTCTAGCTGGATTTCCTCCATCTAGCGGAGCCGGGGACCGGTTGGAAAGAGCCGTCCAGGAAGGACAAAGGTCCGGAAGTTATGGGACCTTAGCAGCTTGGGCTTCCTGGATCAACCCCCCGAATAGTCATTTCGGAATGGAGCCGAGGTTCCACCAGGATGCGGTGGGCTCGAAAATCTGGGGCCACGGGTCCCCCAAATTCCGAGATTCGAACATCTCAGACCCTGATGCTTTGTGCGTCTTGTTTCAGGGTTCCCCACACCGAGCACTGGGATGGGTGGGGTGGGGTGCGGTGGGGTGCGGTGGGGAAGGACCCCTTAGGCCTGCTGCAGGTCCCACTCTCCTGTTCAGCTCCGAGTCCGGCTGGTCCTAACATCCCCATCACCTACACCCAGGCCTCCCAACTTTGCATTCCTAGGTTGGTGCCGCCAGCCAAGCGTCCGTTCCCGCAAATCGCTAAGTCCCCGGTGCCCCACCCCCAGACCCCCTCAATTCTCCCAAGCTGAAAATACACGGAGCCGAGAGCCGGTGACTCAGAGAGGACTCATCTGGCTCAGCCAGGAGCTTACCCGAACCTCAGGGGAGCGTGTCACCGTCCTGGGAAGCACGCTCCGAGGCCGGACGCCAGGTGACCCCGGAGCCCAGCGGCCACCTGCGCCCAGGATCGCGGCTCTGGACTTTTGAGAGGCTCAAAACTTTTAGCGCCAGTCGGAGCACATGGGAGGGGAAAATCCCAATCCCAGCAACCCCCGCGAGGCTCCTGGCACAAAGCTGGACAGTCGCCATGACAAGTAAGGGCAAGCCGTGCGCCGGGGCGGAGGAGGTGGGGATGGAGCCCGCGGGGAGGACAGGGAGGCAGCCGGGACTCTCGCCGTGTTGGTGCTGTTGCTCCTTGACGTTGGGGTGGGGGAAGTTCGACAAGCCGGAGCTGCGAGGGCAGAGTTGGTGGAACCCATTTTGGAAGACTCCTGCCATGTGTCAAGCATGAAGGTGGAAGGAACAGGGTCCTTTGCACTTGTCGTTCCTCTCCCAGATAGCTGGAGAGTTTCTCCCGAGCAGCTAAAACGTCAGCTTTTAGGAAGGACTCCCTTGACATCCGAATGCAACGAATGCCTTCAGATACTCTGTATCACACCGTCTTGTTTAATTTCCTTCACAGCCCCGACCGTTTTCTGCAAAGATCTGTTCCTTGCCTTAAATTCACAGCAGCGTAAGCCCTGGGGGCAGGGACCTTGTCTACTGTCTTATTCACTGTTGTATTTCTCAGTGCCTAGTACAGTACCGGGTAGAAAGGAAGAGCACGGTAATAAACACACTGAATGAATGAAAAGAGACGGAAGTCAGGAATTTGGCGGAATGAGAAGCAAAAGACGGCCAAAGCCTGTAAAACCAAATATAGCGGTGGCGCCCTCTGCAGGTGGCGGGGGGAGTAGGCGCTTTAAGGGTGCCCGAGGGAGACGGCAGGGGGAGCGCAGGCACTTCTCGCCGAGGCAGAAACTCCCGGACTACAATACCCAGCAGCCACCAGGAGCCCCACGGCTTGATGGGAACGGTAAGCCTGCGTGACCCGCCCCTCCCGCGGGGCGCCCGCGAAATCTGATCCGGGATGCGGAGGTCCAATGGAAAGGCGGGGCCAAGTCCCGCGAGAGCGAGCGGCTCTTAGCGACCGACCCGGCGGAGAGACGCGGTGCCCGCAGCCTCGGCTCGTCCACCTGTCCGGCTCGCCTCCCCGGGGTCTTCCGTCCCCTCCCGGAAGGAGGAGGAAGGCCCCGGCGCGTTCTCCAGGTCTGCGTCCGGGAGCCGGGCGGACTTTGGGGTCGTGTCGGCCACGCGGGACGAGGGTTGCGGCCGAGGCCGGTGTCCCTGCTTGCTCGGCAGCATGAGCGCGCCGGGGGCGCCCGGGTTAGCCCCGGACTGCCTTGCCGCGGACCAGGCCCCCGCTCAGGCCTCCCCGACGGAAGAAAATACGGATCCCGAAGTGTTGCCGCCACCACCACCGGCTGGGGACGACCCTCCGCGCTCGTCCCCGCATCGCACGGCTGGTTCCCAGGAGCCGGGGGAGGGCGGCTCAGCTTCTGCCTGCACCGCCCCGGAGGCGGGCTTCGCTGCTCCCAGCGAGTGGAGCCCTCGAAGCGAGGAGCCAGCACTTTGTGAAAACGTGAGCCTTCCTGCAGAAGAAGCGAACGGGCCAGAGTCGCGGCCCGGAGCAGCCGTGGAAGGTGTGTCCGAGGACCCCGCCCTGGAGGACGAGGGATACGCGTAAGTGGTGGTGGCAGGGCCGTCGGGGCCCGAGGGGATCGGGATCGGGAGTGGGAGATGCGTGGGAGTGCACTGCACGCGTACCCGCCCGTCCTCAGCCCCACTTCTGCAGGCCCGCTCCCTCCTTGCTTTGCCGACCTAGTTTGTTGGCGCCCCATCTTCCTTCCAGCACTTGGAACTACAGCTTCTCCCAGCTACCTCGGTTTCTCAGTGGTTCCTGGTCGGAGTTCAGCAGCCACCCCGAGAACTTCTTGAAAGGCTGTAAGTGGTAAGTAAGGATAATCGGGCGGGAGATAACCGTGCTCAGGATTTTCACCATAAAACAGCCCCGGTTGTCTGGGAGAAGGAGTAAGAGTTCTCTTGGACTGAGCTTAAATTTCATCTAGGATTATGTGTCTTCTGCTTTCCTCAAGGCCTTGGGTAGGGTGGGGGCTTACCTACCCCAGGCATAGGCTGAGTCTTAGCCCCGCACTTGGAAAACGGAGCCCTGTCCAGCTTTCTAACTCTTTCCCATTCCTACAGGGCCCCTGATGGTTCCTGCATCTTGACTAATAGTGCCGATAATATCCTACGGATTTATAACCTACCCCCAGAGCTGTACAATGACGGGGAGCAGCTGGAATATGCAGAGATGGTAAGGGTAGGGACTACCTGTGACCCTTCACCAATGCTGCACGTTTCAGCCCTTCAAGTAGGTGGAGAAAGTTGAGTCCACATGTTTCCTGTTCACAAACAGAACATTTCTTCATGAATGTACGCAGGTGGCACTTGCTAGCCAGGATGTGAAGTTTAGAGAGGTGTCCTTCCTTCCTTTAGTTGTGGATACTTGTTTTCTGTAAAAGAGTAGTGGGTTTCTCAGGGCAGTATTTAATTGACTTACAGATGTTTACCGAATGACCGCCAAAGGATCAGTTACTGTGTTTGGTGCTGGGATAAAGTGCTGAAGCAGACAGGTGAAGAGCTGGTTTGCTTTCTCTTGTGGAAGCTAGACGACACACACGTAAAGCGATAAATAACGAAGTTCATCACGCATTATGCTAAATGCTGTGAAGAAAAGAAACAATGAGGAAGGACTAACTTGAGGAGACCACTTTAGATAAGGAAGGGGCTCTCTGAAGAGGCGACATTTGAGCTGAGACATGAAGGATGAGGGGATCAATCATGTGAGGGGCTGTAGAAAGAGCATCCCAGGAAGAGGCAGTGACATGACAGAGCCCCAGAGTGGGGCAGGAGCTTTGTGTTTTCAGGGAACAGAAGGAAGGCCAGCGTGCCTGGACTGAGGCCAGTGAGGGGGAAAGTGTGAGGATGGATCCCATGACCCGTGACCCATATCGGATCTGGTGGGTAGGCCATTTGGAGTTTGAAAAACCAGAAGAGAGTTTTAAAACAGAAGAGCGAAATGATGGCTGAAGTTTTTAGAGAATGGATTGTGGCGAACAAGAGTGAAATCAGGGGGATTCATTGGGATGCATCTATCATGGTCCTGGTGAGAAACGGTGGTGGCTCGGGCTGGAGTGGCAGCAGGAGAAATAGAGAGGTGTGGCTGATTCAAAGTGTATTTTGTAGGACGTGGAGGTCAATTGGATGTGAAGGTGCAGGGAAGGAAACAATCAAGGGTCCAGGTGTTTACAGCCAGGTAGGTGGTGGTACGATTTAACTCAGGAGGAAACAGATATGAAGAGGTATTGGGACAAGTCAAGAGTGTTTAGATCTGTGAAATGTGAAGCTAAGGGAGAAATTGGGGCTGGGGGTGTACTTTGGGAAGCGGAGAAGCATGTAGATGGTACCTGGTATCTTGTGAACGGATTCAGTCTTGAGTGTAGCTGGAGAAGGAGAAGGCTCTAGGGCGCCTGGGTGGCTTAGTCGTTAAGCGTCTGCCTTCAGCTCAGGTCATGATCCCAGGGTCCTGGGATCGAGCCCCACATCAGGCTCCCTGCCCAGCGGGAAGCCTGCTTCTCCCTCTCCCACTCCCCCTGCTTGTGCTCCCTCTCTCGCTGTGTCTGTCTCTGTCAAATAAATAAATAAAATCTTTAAAAAAAAAAGAAGGCTCTAACAGAGCCCCGAGCGCTCCAGCAGATGGAGTGGAGGGCAAGAGGGATGACAAAAGCAGGGGCAGAGTCAGGTCTAATGCTGTTGAGGGTGAGACAAATTTAGAGAATGACCCAAGAAGACATCAGTGACCTTGGCAAGAGCACTTTCCGAGGAGTGATGGAGGCAGAAGCCAAGTAGGGCGGGGGGAAGAGGAGTTGGAGACAATTCTTTGGAAAGTTTTTTTGTGGATGGGAGTTGAGAAATGGGATGGTGACCAGAGGGAATATGGGGCCAAAGAAGGGTTAATGGGGTGCTTCTGCAGGGTCGGAAATAACCCAAGAGACAGGGAGGAACTGATGCTGGAGGAGAAAGGGGGTAGCAGGTCCCTGAGCGGCTGACTGAGGACAGGATCTGGAGCACAGCAGAGGACTTTGTTAGGTGCAGAGTCCTCTCTTGCAGTAGGAAGTGAGGCAGCTGCTCAGTGGTTGGAGGATTTCCACATCTCCTCACTTGACTTTTCAGTGAAGCATGAAGGGAGGTTATCAGTTGAAGGAAGAGGGTCTGTGGGGAGAGCGCATAAGGTGTGAATGATTGGTCCCAGGGAGTCGGAAATCAGAGGCAGCAAGGAACGTGGTAGCGTTGCTGTTCTGTGCTCAGGGCCCACTGGAAATTTGTTGCCACCCATTTAAAGTGAGGTCTGGTGACTTCATTGTGCATCTCTCTCTCCTCAGCAAGTGAACGGGCTGTATTTTCTCTGTTTGTACAGTGAGGATGATGAGCATCGTGGCGCCCAGCTCATAGGCTAGTTGTGAGAATTTAAAAAAATTAATGTAACGTGTACGAATCGGTGCCTGTTTTGTATTCAGTAAACGCTAGTCGTTGGTATTAGTTGAGTCAAGCATGGAATAGGAGGATCATGGGCTGGGATTTGCTGGCAGTGAAAAACAAGGGTGTCCTTAGAGCATCTGCAGAGGGTGTGTGTAGTTGGTTGACTGGAATGTAAAGCAGGTAAGGAAATGGACTGTAAATGGGTTTTTGATGAAGCAGAATAATTGTGGTGGTAGAAATAGAGCAAGTCAGCTGGATAGGTCGGAGACGGTAGTTGGAGATTGTGGTATGACAGGGCCTGGGACTCGACTGTGGGAGGGGCGGCCAGGGTCAAGGGAAGGCCGTGGCTGTGGGTGCTCCGGAAGGCAAGCACTGGGAGAGACCGGAGTGTCGGAGGGACCCACTCGTTCTTTCATTGATTCATTTGGTGAACACGTTTTTGTTGAGCTCATTCTATGGGCCAGGCCCTGTTTTAGGTGCTGGGGATTAGTCGGGAACAGAAACAGACACAAGTCCCCCCGTCCTCTTTGCGCGATAGCTTATAATCCAGTGCAGGGAATAGAAAATAAAGAAATAACCAAGTAAACGGTATAT